CATCTTCAAAGCTATTCCAGATAGTTTCCCTCTTATAGACTTGATCTTCGTCATGTCTGGCTTGATGGCATTAATACGGACAAGTTTTTCCCTATGGCATTTATTTTTTAGGACACTTCACCAAAAACTTTTTTTTTTGATGTTGTGGATAAGAAAAACAAAAAGAAATGGAGGGTAATGAATATATGAAATGCAATACGTATGAATGCATGATTGTATGGCTTAATGACGAGGTTTCATGAAAGGTATCCTTATATGGTAGGTTCCTAGTGTTGGCTTATGGATATTCTGCCCTCCTCATAAGGTGGTTTCCTTAAGGGTATCATGGATAACACTATAGGGAAAGGCACAAGGGCCTCCCTTAAGTGGAGCCTCTTTGCAGACCGAAACTTTCGTCTCTAGGTCATGAAAGGTCTCGCCATGAGATTTTGGTTTAAGGGTTATACAAAGAGTCATAGGTTTCATTCCAAAGTGTTACCCCCCAAGAGGATGTCTCTTGAGACGTATTCCTTTCGTGGAATTCCACCGACTCTAGGCGAAGTCGTCACATAAACTCATAGGGCTGATGTATCCCCTTGGCTAATAGACGGACCTTCTTTCTAAGGGTTTTTAAAAACATTTCTATTTAAAATAATGAAAATCCCCTTCATCAAATGAATATAATATGATAAAACACATAAATTAAAATAATAAATGTTTGCAAATGAATAAATAAAATCAAATATTGAAAACAGTAAAAAAACCAAACAAAAACCCTAAACCTAAGAGAGAGGCTTATAAACCCTAGGGTTGCATCCCCAACAGAGTCGCCAGTTGTTGTAACAGATTTTAAATTGAGAGTTGCCACCCTTAATTTTCATTTTTAAGAAGGGAATATAAAGAATAATCCTAATTTGGTCAGAGATTCTAAGTTGTTGAACTCGTTTTTAGACGAAGGGAAGGTGTTAGGACCCCCTCATCTACCTTGTTCACAAGGATACTAGGGTTTAGAATTACGGCTTAGGAAATAAAGTTTTAATTTTTTATTAGGGGAACTCACTACAATTTTAGTCGTAGGCCTACGTATCCTCTTATGAGGAATCAGAGTCCCAATTCGTAGTTCAAAGTTGGTTGGTGTTTTTTTATGGATTACGAAGATGTTTTGCATTTCCCTGTACTAAGTTTGAGTGTGTGAATAGGGGAATTGTTAGACGAAGTTCACAGTCGATTTAAAGCACCTTCACAATCCTTTTTGAAAATCATCTTGGATTTAATTAAATTATATACAAAATTTGGTGTTGGTTAGGTATTTTTTAAATGTATTAATATATAAAAATCTTTTTAATGCATGACAAAAATAATTTTAAATGCAATAAAAATATTTAGATGGATTAGAAAAATAAATATTTGATTTTTATAATAATAGTAAATATTTTAGAATTTATAATTATATCAAATATAAAATTATTAATTATAATATAAAAATAGATAAAGTAAAAAAGTAAAATAAAATAATTAATAAAACGTAGGGGGTGTATTCTGTTTGGGCTAAGTAAATCAGGGGGGTATGGAAAGTAGGGCCCTGAATTCAGATGTTGAATTCAGGTCCAAATGCAGGAAGGGTGAATAATTGTACAGGGCAATAAAAGTGGGGGTTTGATTTAGCAAGGGGTCCAAGTTCAGATATTGAACTGGGCCTAGTAGCGCATGGGGGTGAGAATTATGTTGGCATAGCAAAAACTAAAAGCAGGGAGGTGTGAATATCATGGGCTTGGGCCCAAAACAATATGGGATACATTAGGCAAGGTGTGGGAGAGATCACAGTCACGCGCTTATGGAGCATTGGATTGTAATCAGAGGATGCCTAACAAAGGTATATGATAAGGGTGCGTGGTAGTGTTAGCACGGGATCAACGAGGTTTATAAAAACACATCATTGGGATGAGAACCCATTTTTTCCTTTTCTTTCTCTCTCTTCGCCAAACAAATAAACTCTTTTATTATTTCTAGAGAAAGAGGCTTTGCCTTCTCTCTAGAATTCCATCGCGCTAGAAATTGCGCAGCCGGTGGTCACCACCCCAAGCCTCCACCAACCACCCTATCTCCCCAGTTTTCTGATTGACATTCAACCGGAAACTTCATACATTCAACAATTTCTAGAAAATGGCATGAACCCTAGGTATAACCCTAAGGGTTCATGATGAACCCTAATCAAACCAAAACCAAAAACACACAACAATGATGAACCCTAACCCTAATCGGAAGAACCCTAACCCCAAACCTAAGAAACCTAACCTAACCTAACCCTAGAAACCCCATAAACCCAAAATTAAACCCCAATCAAATAGTTAACATCAATTAACATGCAATCAAACACTATGATCTAAGTGGTTTCAGGCTTACCTCTCCTTGTTGTGATTCCTGATTTATGGTTTTCTAATTCTCCTCTCTAATCTCTTTCTCCTCTCTTTCTATTTGACAAGTACGAAGGTGGATGGTAGTGTAGCGGCGGCGCGACGAAGAACTTTAGGGTTTCATATATTGAAGCCTTAAACTTATCTTCTTCTTCTTTCTCTTCTCTGTCAACTTGTTCGTCTCAATTTTTCTCTTCCTCCCTTAGAATTTTTAGGGTTCTATTTATAGTCTTAGGTTATAGATATATTAGGAAATTTGTTTATGATTGTCTTTACAAATTGTAATTGATTTAGGGTAGACAAATTCTGTTAGGAATTAGAAGATTTTATTTGTTGTAATTGCTTCTACATTTGATTCTGTTTGTAAGTTTTTTGGACAATTTGTCAAGTAAAGATTTGATTATGTATAAATTGATATAATTTGATTTGTAGTTGATACGGTGAATTTTAGTTGATTTGATTCATAAAATATGTGTTTCTTTTGTTTGGATCTGAACGATGGATGTTTGTGGGCTTGGTTTACTTAGTGTGGAGAACAAGGTGCCGCTGGGTAATATTTAGGGTTTCAGAATAAAATCCCTAATTGGATTTAGTTAACCCCAATCAACGTATTTCAAAAAAATGAAAAAAAAACAAATACAATTAATAAATAACAATAACGTTTTAATAATGCCTATATACTGGCAATTAATTGTAACCAAATAATAACAACAATTAATAAAATCTAAAATAAGAATATAAATAGGTAATATTATTAAATAATGATTAATTAAAAAATACAGGCTCTCCAAAAAATAGTCCGGACTGGGCCAATTCTATCGAGTTATTGGGCCCTTCAAAAACGCACCCTCCTTTCTATTGTTTGAAAAGAGTGGGCCTTGAAAAACACACCCCCTCTTTCTGTTAACTTCTAAATGGGATGAAATATATCAACAAATACACCCCCTTTCTTAATTATAAGAACCAAATTAATGGGCCATCAGTTTTTTATGGTCCATCCTGAAATAATACACTCCCCTTTATAACTTAAACCCCACAATAATTTGACAACAATCTAATCCTTTATAAAAGTGATAACTTTAATAGGGAATAAATTGTTAGAAATCTATAGGGAAAATTTTGGGTATGACACTATCCCCTGATCCACCAATTTTTATAATGTCTTCTCAAAATATTCATTATGTTCCAAAAGGAACCCACACTCCAATAGATATTCTTTCAAAAGGTTTATCGGGGCCTTCACTTGTCTAGCTGCCCCAAAGTTAGTAACCACTTCAATTGCATTTACCGTTGGTCCAGCATGTTGAGGCATGGGATTTATCTAGATGTTCAGTTTTTCAAAAGTAATATCTTGGGAGTACAACAAATCTTGAACCTTATGTTTGAAGGCCCAACATTTTTCTATGGTATTCCCCGGAGAATTTGCATGATACTCCCACCTGGCATTTGCATCGTACTTTGGTGGAAGTGCCCCAATTGGAGGAGCTAGAGGTTTTAGCTCTACCAAAGATGCCTTGACTAAGTGTTGTAATAATTGACTATGCGGCATAGGTGTTGTACCCCAAAATTCTCCCTCTTCATTAATCCTAATTGGCTTGTATTTCATTTCCATATGCATACATACATGTCATTGGGTTTATGGCCATGGGATCAAGGATATCAAGGAATTAGGGTTTCTTTGTGCTTTTAGGCTCTCGTCTTCATTCAAGGTTGAATCAATGGGTATCTTCAACAATATTGGTTTGGAGCTAGGTTTTGTGTTCATGATCATTAGGAGCTTCTTTCATCAAGCTACAAGGTTCTCACCATCATCAAGGTTCGTCGAGAGCATCAAGTTCCTAAGATTTCATCAAGGACTCCATCTCAAATATTTGGGTTGGTTCATGATGTGAAGTATCTATTTGCATTGTTGATTGAAGTTCAAGTCATTCAATTGGATTTCATTCAAAGGGATAACTTGACCAGACTAGATTTTCGATCGATTGAATCGCAAGGATGGATTATGGTATAAAGGATGAGATCGTGATCAAGACATTTATCATTCTTTCATTCGTTTGATGTTGGTTTATTCGAATTTGAGATTGAAGTTTGGATTTGAGAATTAAATTGAGATTCATTGGTTGAAATGGTTCATTTGATGCCAAAAGTTCAAGTTATTCAAGTGTGTTAAGATGGCATTAAGGTTACAGTTTTTCTCACTAAACATATAAGACTAAAAATATATGAATTTCTTGAAATCAAGTAACAAAGGCATATTCATTCATTTACCATCAAGTACCATTCTCCATCATCTATTATTCAAGTTCCGAGTTCAAGAGTGATTCAAAATCCATTCAAGTGCTTGTTTTGATTATAGTTTGACAATTGGATCCGTATTCTAAAGATTGAGATATTTGTTCACAATTATAATAAATTTAGAGGCATATCCCAAATTCATCTACAAATTTCGAGAAAACTCCATTCATGATTCAAGAGTCACAAACTTTGTGCATTACAAGTTCAAATCCAATACGTTTAAGCTATATTTTATTTAGCCATTACATCATCACAAGTACTTTACATCATACAAAGAAAAACATTACACAAAACTCTTCATAAACCTACTCCCTAATTACTATCCAAGTAAGCCTCCAAACTTGTGCTTAGTTGGAACCAGCGTCTACGCTCCTTTCTCCAAGACACTTTCTTAAGCCTCGTACTACTATATCCGTTTAATGAGTTGCAAAGAGTTAGCAGAAAGTTAAGTTGGTCCATCATTATAAACCTGCTACTGCTGAATCGAAAGCGCATCACTGTAATCATGCCACACTCTCAGGCATCACGATGCACTCACCAAAAGTTGCCAAATATTAAGACGGTATGCTAATGCGTTGGTACACGCTTATGCACAAGAAACCGGACCTGCATCATAGTTCACAACACATTCAAAGTGTAGCATCCATACAAACTGTACCGTATTCATCATTCAAATAAGCCAATATTTCAAAATTGTTCCATACAATTTCATCATCTTTTTAACATAATAGAACCTCAAACGAGCATAACTGAATTTTCTAAATAGTTTAATAACTAACAGCTTTGTTTTATAAACTAACATTTTCTTTTTTAACTATCTTTTAGTTACTTGCACTAAAAGAGAATACTGACTTCCTCATTGTCTAACTATTAACAGTTTTTACTGTACTAATTATTTAACGGTAGTCCACTAACATTTAACTAAGCTGGTCCTAACAATTCATTAAAAACTAATAACTTGTAACAAAATTTCAAACTAATTCTCTAGATCTTTATAACTAACTTGTACCAGTTTCTCACCCTAACAGAATTTCTTAAACCGACTAACTCAATAACAGAACTAATTGCCAGCTAAGCCATAATAGAATTTGGAAGTTAGAAATGGGATGGAATCTCACCATTAATCTCTAACCATATCTCTAATCCAAGGGCTCTCAAGGCTTCCAATTGTTACAAACTTCCTCCAAACTCACCAATTCACGATTCATTCTTCAATTTCTGCAAAAGAATCACACAAAAACCTCCATATAAAATATATCTCTCTGTAATCTTCATCTCTCACACCCCTTTCTGAACCTCGTTCCTCATCTCTTTCACTCCACCTTCCATCAAAAAACTTAACTGCTTCATCTATTCACATTCACGTAGAATCTTTAACTTTCTTCTTCTCTGAACATTGATCTTCTTCAATCATCAGTGAATTATCAACAACTTCAAATCTCTGCAACCTCCCCCTTCAATCGTCATTTTATCTTCATAATCGTCATCATCTTCATCGTCTCATACCTGTAAATCGTTTCCACCTTTCTCTGCAAAAACCTTCATCAACGCAGCAACACACAATTTCAGTATCAAAGAAATCCGCAAGATCAACACAACATGCGCAAGTCAAGATGACATCTCGCAACAGAAAAATCGTAGGACAAAACACATAGAAATATGAAACTCCACAAGGAGAAGAAGAAAAGAAAATCTAACTTGAAGTGTATTCACCGTCGTAATCAATATCACCTCGGCGTCGCTGGAGGTAAGCCTTCATGTTCGTCCTTTTTTCTCCTTCTTGATACTACAAGATCTAGGTTTTTTTTTAAATTGGAGATATGAGAGGGCGTGAATCAGATATTTGTATCAGAGAGAAGTTTGAGGCGTCGTCAAAGAAGAAAGTCAAAGAAGAGACAAATCTGTTGAACTCCACGGTGGCGGAAGGCTGTGTTGGAGAGAGATCGGAGAAAGCAGAAGAAGAATGTCGCACCGCCGTTTGAAAGTGAAGAAGGAATTACGTGGAAGATGAAAAGCCACAATGACTTGAACCCTATCCTCTCAAGCAAAACGTGTTGTTTTACTATCTTTCCCTTTATTTATTATTATTTTTTTTATTTTCAAGTGTTGACAAATATTGAACAATCAGCATGGATATTTGCTTTGGATGGGTGATTGAATGGGCCCTGGGTTGAATCATGCTTGCAGAAAGCCCGTTGATTATTTTTGTGTACAAGTGGATTAAACTACACACAAAAATAGGCCTAGTGGACCACTGCTTGGGCTCAGCTCCTGTTACTAGCTCACACCATCTGGATTACTGGCTTGCACCTCCCGAGATTATTCTATTAGTAATTTCTTTTAAATAATTTTGTGGATTGTTTGGATTTGTTTTTGAACTTTTTCCACATGATAAAAAAATTACAAAATCAAATATAAATTTGGTAGAGTTTTTTATTATTTGATTTTAGGGATAAATTCATGATTATCTGATTGCCCGAGACTGGCGACTCACCTTTGTTTGTCGAGATTTGAGCCTTATGCACGTTTATCTTGTGATATGAGGATGTGCTTGATATTTCAATTGTGATTTATTTTCACATTGATGATGCTTCGACACTTATGACGAGCATTCAACTTTCAACTCTTATTTGTTGCTTGGTGAAGCTTACTCGAAGTTTTCTTGGTTTCTCTTCTTTGCTTGCTCTGCTAGGAACTATTGTCTGTTTGGTATCACTCTGATCCTAATTTATCTTTTCCGCATTTGTAATGCTTTCTAGATATAATGAGAAGTAGGAAATAAAGAGTGTGCGCTCAAAATCGTTGTTTAAAGACTTGTAGCAGGCATTGCGCACTTATTTCCTACTTGTGTGTTGTGCTTATGTTTGCCTCCTTTTTTTACGATCGATGATGTCTGTAATACGGTGAGAGAACTGACTTTTACGGCTTTTGTGTTTTTATCGCAAATGTTGCGGTTAGCAAGAGTCAACACCGACTTTTATTTTATCCAACAAAGGAAATGGTGAAAAGAACAGGAAATACCTTTTTTTAAAGATTTTGAGTTCAGGGGGTAGGTTATGGAAAGGGAAGGTATTAACACCCTTTCCATCTGTAGTTATCTACGGGCTCTTAGTTGCTAGTCCACTTTTGAAAATGCTTTGTGTTCATGTATTTTGAAAATATTTTTGAAAAGACGCCTTAGTGCGACGAACTCTGTAATGTTTCTCCTATCGTTGAGAACGTATACAAAGTGCTTTCTCTTTGAAAATATTTTAGAGAAAAGTTTGTGCATGTGTGAAAAATTGTTTTATTTGTTTTTGTAAGCAAGCAACTATGAACTGTCTACCTACTCGAACAGTCTTTGTTCTTATCCTCTTTTCCTTTAGACAATGTTATCCTACTATTAGTCAGTAGGTAGCCCTATCATTGGATATTTTGAGGGACATGTGCTGGTCTTCGTACAGTCATAAAGACAACTCGTAGGGCACTTTAGCAATTTTATCGTAAGGGACTAGATCGTTTACCGAAGGCAGTATCAGAGGGTCATCGAGGGACTACGATCTTTTTAACCGAGGGTCTTTGCTAAAGTGTCCCACGTTCAAGGGACATGACTGTTTATTTTTCCGAAGGTAACAAGTGGAGGTACCTTAGAGGTGTGCGTGCGCGAGTGTGTTGTGTTTCAGTTAAATTTATCTTTGAATATTAGGTTTTCTAACGTTTACTTTTAAGTCTTTTCATACAAACCTATTTGCATTCATCTAACAGTTAATTGTATAAGTACAGAAAATAAAATGTGGGAATTTAAAGACCTACAACTATTATATCACATAAGCAGTTACATAATAGAAAAAAATGCGAGGAAATGTAAACTACGACTATTACAAAATTATCTGTGCGACCTATACATTTGTTTTCTAGAATTTAAATAGCAAAAGAATAAATAAAAAGAAATTAAAGGACAAAATAAAAGAACTAAAATTCTAAGCAAGAAAATGTTTTTGGTTTTTTTTATGAGAAAAAAGAATTTTGTGTTAATAATAATTGGAATTTGATTTATGAAAATAAATTAATTATAAAACCATAATTCTAATTAATTAATTAATTAAAAAAGTATTAAAAATAATTAGTTAAAATTAATCTTAACAAAACAAAACAAAGAAACTAATTCTAATATTTTTGTGGTTTTGATTTTAATGATGTTTTTATGATTTTTTTAATAAAAAGAAATTAATTGAAAAAGAAAAATGTAAATTAAACAAAACAAAAAAATAGAAAAAGAAAATATGGGCTTGCTGTAAGAAAGTTAGGGGTGAGAATCTGAAATTTGCTAAGCCCAACTTGGTTGAACCCAACAACTGCGTATGATTTGGTGTGCATATCCCTTGAGGTTCCATGGTAGGAGCGCATCCTTGAGAAGCTGGATCTGAAACTCAAAAGTTCTTGAGCCCTAACAATGGCATCATGCAATCTAATCACTTAAACTCACGTGTGATACGTTAGATCCATTCCAAACATTGATAACAACATGGATATATGCATAGAATTAATTTAAATCGTATAATGAAAGAGTTTAGGATCCAGAATTTTAACCAAAAACTGGTGGGCTTGGTATGGATGTTTTGGTGTGTTTGAGAGTGAACAACAGATATGTATGGCCTACTGGAACCTTCGGGAAGATGGTACGAAGCGTGAAATTGCTCGAATATGGCCGAAAATTGCTATACCAAATTACAAATTTCTTTGAAAAATATGAAGAATTCGGGCAAGCTTTTGGAGAGCTTTTTGAAGAGATTTCTGAAGAGGAATTTTGTGTCCTCTTTGGTATTGCAATGCATTGTATTTATAGAGGAGTGAGTGAGGGTGGAAACAAGGCAAGAGATCAAGGCATTAAACCATGGTTTCATGATAAAATAAAAATTTGAAAAATTGCCTAAACGGTGTGATTCTTGCCACGTTTGTTTAGAGCATGAACCTGGACATATTTCATGTGTTTTGCACGAATTAATGGGCTCCAAAGTGGATCAAAACCAGCTCATATGCATAGCCCATGATTTCCTTGTGTTTTTATTTAATTTATTTGATTTAATTCATATTTAAATGAATAATAACTCAAATAAATAGAAATAAAAAAAAATAGTGCATGTTTAGGTTTAGAGGTTCTTGGGTATGTCATAAACATGTTTGAACCCTAAAAGTTAGGTCCATTAACCTAAAAATGCATTTTTGCTCAAAGTTGACTTCATGCATTTTCACAAATTTGTCCAACTTGTGCAACCCATAACATGCTCAATTTTTATCCTTTGGAGATTATCTTGGACTTTTTGGAAAGCCCAAGATGTCCTTTATACTTTCTCTTTTAATCATTTTTGCATTTTGAGATATTATCTTGATGTAAGTTGCCTTGACAAAAAGTGTCTTTTGTTGACTTTTTGAAAATGACCTATAATGTATGAGATCATATCTTCCAAATGAAGCATTTTTTGGACTTGAGAACAAAAAAAAGTTGTAGAGAATTAAATTTTCTTAAA